GGGGTCATTCTTCCAAGTCCCCCAAGGTGGTCTTGCAATTAAAAATAGTAATGCAAATAAATAGTACAGAATATTTGCAAGCTGACTTCTGGAGCTGATAGACCTTCATCTTACACACACCCTCTGTTCTTCCCTCTTTTCCAGGTGGATCCTTGCACTATCAACAACAATGTCCAGTGAGCACCAACCAAAGGACATTTATGCAGTTGTCTTTTATCCAGCTTTTTCTGGACTTTTAACAATTGCACTCACAGAGATTATGCACCAGGCAGAAATTCCCTGATGAAAAGGGAAGGAAGACCTCATGGTGTCAGCACATCTCGCGGAAGACTTGTCGGCAAGGAGCTGAATTGAATGGCTATCTTTATGCCTTTGTGTACTTGCCACAGGCCAAGAGAAGCTATGTGGGTCAGTGGTGGACCCAGGCCTCGGCTCTCCCCTATAGCCAGGTGCTGAAGTGAAACTTTCAAGATGGGACTGTAGGGTAGGGCAGGCATTTCTGAATGAGGGGAGGTGAAAGGCCAACAACAGATCAACAGTTTGGAAGAAATACTACTGAATGACAACCAACGACCATTTGTATCTGTTCAAAATTGTTTTGAATGTGGTGATTTAGATACATGAGGTTGTATGTCTGAAGATTTTTCAATAGGACAAGCAAGCTTTTGGTAGTTTGTTTCTTACAGTTTTTTTTGAGTAAAAGTGCTTTTCTCAGGTTTTAAAACCTAACACCCTGATCTTTGGGACACTTGGAAAAAAGTGTGGGGAGAGTTTCTAGATGGACAGTGGTAGGTTGGTAGGTGTTGCTGCAGATGCTGGATGGGATTGGGGGTTTCTCTCAGTAGCATTAAGTGAAGGAATGAGGTGAGAATAGAAAAGTATAGCAGGTGGTGTTAAGTGTTAGGTTGTAATAAACACTCCATCCAAAGGGGCAAAAAAAAAAAAAAGCCCCAGGGAGAAGAACTCCCAACTTCTTATGAAGCAATAATTTTGTGTTCTTTTGTGTTTGCCTATCGAGCAAATCAAACACTGTTTAGAAGTCTAGCTTTCTAAAACAGTCTCAAGTGTTGTTGTAATGGACTTTTGTGGCACTTAATTTCTGTGGTTTTTGTTCTGTTTTTGTCTAATTCTACGTTCTCCTTAGTATGTAAACAAGCAAACATTGTATAAGGGAGAAAAATCACTATATGCCTATTTTTTTCTTATCTTGAATCTTTAGTGTTGTGTGACTATAAACCAATGTTGATAATTTGGGGTATGGGGCAAGTTGTTGGCAGCCTTGAATGATGCAAGGGCAGGATCTGAGGCTCTGGGGGGGGCAGCACTTCCCCCCACCATCTTCTTGAGAGGTTTCTCATGCATTCCCTTGCTTCCTTGGTTATCAAAAGCCCAGCAATATCTAAAGACCAATCTCTCTATATTTTGTTGAATGGTGCCAAACAGCTTTGTACTTTCCCACAAAGCTGACACAAGCAGAATAAAATCGGGCATGGCTTTAGGCTTGCGTGAAATCAAATAAGGAAGCATATCTATTTCTGGGCTGCTCTTCTTCACCCCCCCGCCCCTATATTTTTCAGCAAATAACTTGGTTTATTCCCCACTGATGGAAAAATGCACTTTCTTAACAGTTTTTGAAAAACAGCACTGCATATCTAAAGTGTTAATTGATCCCAGATTTTGTCACTCCAAATATCTTGTCACAAGATACTATATAAGTGACAGTTGGACATAAATTTGGGTGTACTGATTTGTTTTCCTATTGTGTATTTTGTTGCTCCGTTTTGCTTTATTTTGTACTGGTTTGAAAATTTAATTATATTTTGTACTACTGCAGTTCTGCAGAATCCCCCTTTTGGGGTCATGTTTCTAATAAATGTTCAAAAATTGAAATGCCAGTGTCTTTGTTTTATCTGCTTTAGGCGTTCTGGAGGGAGGGTAGGTGGCGGGGTGGTAGTGGTCAGTTTCTCACCACATCCTCAAATTCTGCACGTGACCATGCAATTGTAAGTGGGTTTGCATTAACTTAATTTGCACAATACATATGGTGAACTGGATACAACAGGATCGTAAGAAGGGAAATCTCTAAATTCATGTGAATGAAACCAAAAACCCATCTTCACAGAACTGGAAGGAACACAAAAGCATCATCTAGTCCAACCCCATCAGCAGGAATTGCAGCTGATGGCATATAAAGAAATGGGTTTTCTAATGCTAATGGGAGCCTGTGTTGTAGGAATTCAAATTCCCACCTTGCCATGATGCTCAAGGGGTGGTGATGTTGGGATACTTGGTTTAAGATGCCTGTGGCAATAAAAGAGGTATTCATATATTCTGCCCTCAGCTCCCTAGACTGAGGTGGTAGACTAATGTAACAAAAGTACCAAACAATAATATAAAAGACTATTTCAAATGGACTCAGGGCCCTGTTAAATCCAAATTATGGGAAAGGCACTTCACTCATGGGAGCTTGTAATTCTCGTCTTCCTGCTGGATTTTTTTGTGTGAGACCCACTGAACTTGCCTAATGGGAAGATTTAAAAAATATATATCGAGCAACTAATTTGGAGACTCTTGTTGGGGCAATGCACCTACCTATCGGCTGCATTAAATCTCAAAAACTTGCAAAAATGTAGCTAGTTCCATTTGTGCCTCTTGCTTGTGTGTAGGTTGCAAATCGGCACTTTGTTTCCCTTTGGCCAATCAGTATAGCAGCAAGAAATGGGATGAGAGGACCTCTGAGAGAACTTGAAGCCTAATGCTGCTAACTTAACCATTGCTGGGAGCACCTGAGGTCTTATTGATACCCTAGAGCAGCGTTTCCCAACCTTGGGCCTCCAGCTGTTTTTGAACTACAATTCCCATCATCCCTGACCACTGGTCTTGCTAGCTAGGGATGATGGGAGTTGTAGTCCAAAAACAGCTGGAGGCCCAAGGTTGGGAAACACTGCCCTAGAGGAGGTGATTGGCATAGATGTGTTTAGGACACTGGCAGAGATGTGAAAGCCAATGGCCAATGCACTTGCTTTTTGGGGGATCCTTTAGGAAGCAGAACAGAAATCGCCACAACTTTGATAAGACCTGCTGTTGAGCTGAGCGATGGAAGTTGTCAAGACCACTGATCCATTTAACCCAGCTCTGCCTCTTCTGACTTTGCATCAGTGAGCTTTCTGCCTGGGTAAGGTAAAGGTAAAGGGACCATTAGGTCCAGTTGTGGCCGACTCTGGGGTTGCGGCGCTCATCTTGCTTTATTGGCCGAGGGAGCCGGCGTACAGCTTCCAGGTCATGTGGCCAGCATGACTAAGGCGCTTCTAGCGAACCAGAGCAGCACACAGAAACGCCATTTACCTTCCCGCAGGAGTGGTACCTATTTATCTACTTGCACTGTGACGTGCTTTCAAACTGCTAGGTTGGCAGGAGCTGGGACCGAGCAACAGGCGCTCACCCCATTGCGGGGATTCGAACCACCTTTTTCAAAACTCAGAACCGTCTGCATATTCAGCTATGCCCCCCACCCTGCTCCCATACATATTCAGATCTTGGGTGCCCTCTCTGAGAGAGTTTCAGAGGGTGGCAACGAGGGACAGGGCCTTTTCAGTGGTGGCCTCTCCATAGACTGCTCTCCCAAGCCAGGCCTGCCAGGTGCCAACATGAACACTCTTTTGGTGCCAGGTTTAGATCTACCTCTTCTCCCAGGCTTTTGAATGACTGTGACGATCTTTCTTATTGCTGTTTCTATGTTGTGCATTTTTGGGACGGGGTATTGTTTGAATCGTTAAACTTGGTGGCCGGTTTGTTTTAATTACATGTGTTGCCTAGAGACATTATAATGAACATCCCAGCAAGGCTGCTTGGCGCCAGCACTGAACATCCTCGTGACTCCAGGTAAAACCCTTTTATCTTCTCCCAGGGTAGCATGTGACTAGTTCTCATGAATGTTCTGCTATTTACCAAAGAAAATGTTTCCTACTGCTAATGTTTTTTCTGGGTCTTTTTCTGGATCATTTGGCTCCTAATTTTTTTGTTAGTTTCTTAAAGATATATATATATATATTGGCAGTAAGTAACAACAACAAGCTTTTTAAATTTATTTTTATTTCCACAGTGGGAACAGGATGTTGAATTAGATGGGCCATTGGCCTGAATCAGCAGGCTCTTCTTATGTTCTTAAGGCTGGTCAGCACACCGTATGACAGTGGTTTCCCCCAAGATCTCAGGCAGGAGACTTTGCTAGACTTTGCTTGGACATACCAGGAATACTAGGAAAGGAACCTGGGACCTTTTGTGAGCTTAGCAACTATTTTGCCACTGAGCTACAGCCCTTTTCCCCTGGAAACCCACCAATGTTGGCAGACACGCTCCTTTTTGTCCTTTTTGTCTCTGTGTTCATTCCATTTTTATATCTACGCCCCCATTTATACACATTTATTTATACCGTTAGCATGTTTACACAGGAATGCAGGAATGCATAAAGATGAAATAGATGAGAACTACAATAAATTAAAATCAGCATATGCCTATACACCATCATTTTACTTACAGTTTCAAAATTGAAAAAAGGCTAATTTATCCACAAATATTTACTTGTAATTTCTTATGATATGTTAATTTGATCTTTATCATAATTGACCATATTCCCCACCCCCCCAATCCATTAAAAATGGATTGGTTTGAATGTTTAATACATGCATAGGCAGACATACACTATTTTCATGAACAGCAAACAATCACACAGGTTTAGCCATTTTGGAACCTAGCAAGGACATTTTCAAGTTTAACAGAACTCATCTTCATGAAAGGAGCTTTTGAAGAGTTCTGTGAAAGCTGAAAGCTCACGTCCTTCAATGCGAACCTTAACCAGCCCAGCGAAAGATGCTGTTTCTTCAATTAATATATTTTATCTCTTCTCCTTTGGAAGCAATGTCAGCATCTGCCATTAACAGCTTCACTCAGAGGAGTCAATAAAGTTAAAAGGGTACATAAAAAGGGAGAAAAAACTTATCTCTGCTTGGCTCAGCCTGGCAACCGTGTTAAATGGGCAAGCCGCCAGCCATGGTGGTAAGGGAAACACAAACAAGCATAATCGCAAAGGTGCCCCAGATAAGGTAGATGAAATCTTGCAATCAGAACAGAGGGCAGTGGCCTACAATTAAATTGCCCTAAGAGAGGTCTGGCAGTGTTTGTTCTAATGGCTCCTGAGAGATGGGGCTGGGTAGGAGGAGGCTGAAGCATGCATACGTGAGATAAAGATGACTGCACGTCATGTAGAGTCTTATCTGTCTCTCATTGCCCCGTCTGTGCACGGAGCAGCGGAGCAGCTGAGGTTTCATAAAGCCTTCTGCTTCCAAACAGTCCAGACTCTGAAAATTCCACGAAATGGGCTCCTTTGCTGCTCGGCACATTACAACAGGACAGCAGCGCTCCTTTGCAGACACTGCAGCCGACGCACTAATGTGTCACGACACCACACAGTTTGGAAAGCTCTGAGTTAGACAATCAAAACACAAACACTGGTCAGTAGGCAAGCAAAATGGAGTGAGGAATCCCAGCCCACTTGCAAAAAATTTGATCCCAAGCAAAACCCGTCTCACGTTGCTGGGCGGGAAAGTGCCTCTGAGTTTGTGCAAAGGCTCCTTTTCCTCACTGCTTGAGGCATCTTTCATAGCTCAGGCTGCAGGATCTGCTGAGAGCCGCCCAGGGTCCTGACCTCACCTGTATTGCTCTACCTGAGTGGAAGAGGCGCCGGCTGTTGCTCCTGCTTCTCCCAAGACCCCAAACCCCAGCAGAATGGGGCAACAACTGCTGTGCAGTTACAGAGCTGCTCTGTGAATCACGGGCTCCACTTCTGCCTTCTCCCACTCCTCTGCCCCTGACATGAAAGGTCCTGGCCAGGTATCTGAAAAGACCACCCAGAGAACTCATTGATCTAACCTCCTTCCACCTCATCTTGATGCTTCATAAAAAGAATTGAGATTTAGGTGTGCAATAATCTTTTTTTTTTTGGGGGGGGACTTTACTGAAGTGAATCAAACAAATAGACACCGCAAAAATAACAGAAACAACAACAAAAACAGGAAAGTATATACGGAAGAGACAAATGATTTTTTTAGGAAAGCCAAGTTTCACCTTGCACTGTGGAGAGGGAGCCTGATCCACCTTGCCTGCTCCATCTTGCTTTCCATGATATTTCCTTTTTCAAATATGTAGAAATATTTGTTAATCCTCAACAATATTCTGCTGTGCTCATGTTCCATGCCTGCCCTGAGGATGCTGTGCAATGCTTTTCTTTCAATACCTTCTCTCTCTCTTTTTCTTATTTCCCTCCTGTCATTTTGTCCTGGTCTTTATAATTTCAAAACTTCAGTAAAAATTATATGAAAAGCAAAGAAACCGAAATTGCAACCAGCGTGCGAAAGTGCAGCTGGTGGGTGCTCTTGCCAGCATCTCAAAGAGCAGGAGGAGAGACGTTGGGCCAAGAGAAGATGGTAACCTTTGTACAACATGCTTTGGAGAGAGGACTCTGCCAAAGGGCTTATCCGACACCACTGCTGAAATAAGCCAACCCTTCTTGATCCCCCTTCAGCCTAGCAGGACAGGTGGGAAAGGACCAACAGGCCAACCAGGGTAAAGTTGAGAGGGAGGGAGGAGGTGGGGGGTAGGCTGGGGAGGGAGGGAGAATATAAGGTTGATCTAAGGGTCACCCCCAACTTGCCATGCAGACAGCTGCCAGTCAGTGGTTGCCTCTGCAAAGATTGCTTGGGCAGAGCAATCTGAGTCCAGCAGGGCTGGATGAAGTTACAGACCTAGCAGCAAATCCTGATACGCTCCTCAGAAGGGTTTTTTTAAAAAATGAAATAGGCTTGGGGGCTCAAGTCCGCTTAGCAGCCATTCTTGGGAGCACCCCGATTCCAGATTTTTGTGTTCATGGGTGAAGAGTCTGCAGACAAATGATGGTAATTGTTAAGAGATCCGAAGGATATAATCCAGTTGTTCCCAAAATGTGTGGTATTGCCCTCCTGAGGGGGATTACCCGGGGGGGGGGTGGCCGCTAAGAGGCAAGGGGGGTGGCAGAGGGGCACTGGAGACGTCAATGACTCTCTGGCTTTGAAAAGTGAGTTCCTCTCCTCAGCTATCTTGAATTAAACTACATCGTTTTCATTGCATTTTGAATAAACGTGCAACTAATTGTTAGTGTTTTGAATTTCGCCGTGCTTTCATGTTCCTTAGTGGGTTGTGCAAACTGCTGCTCTGAATGATGCTTTCACAGGGCAAGGGGCACTGAGGATGAGTTCATGAAACCAAGGGGAAGGTGGCCAGAAAAACTGGGAACCACTGATAATAATCTGTAATTGGAGAGCTGGAAAACGTGTGGAAAAGAGGATCAGGATGGTCGGGGTGGAGGTGGGGGGGGAGAGCACCTTACCTAGGAGGAAAGCTAAAATCAGGGATAAAACAGATGTTTTTGGACTCCATCTCCCCCCTGACCTCTGGCCTTGCTAGTGAAGTCTGATAGAGGCCATTTTGAAGGCCACAGGTTCCCCATCCCTATAACATGGAGACAACAGAAGAGCATGGGATGTGTTATGTAAAGGAGCCTACAGGTACTGGCATCTGTTAGAAGTGATACAACCTCTGTCAAAACTCCCAGATTGCTTTGCCCACCAGACCATGCAAGGCAATTCCTCTGAACTCCATGCCCAGCAACCAGAGCTAGCCATATTGTATATCAGTCTAAATAGCAGGGTTCTCTGCCAACACGAAGTAAGTCTTAAATAAGCAGCCCTGATAAAATTACATAAGATCCATGTCTGTGGCCGGTATCTCTAGAGCAGTGTGCCCCAACCTGTGCCCTCCTCCAGATGTTTTGGACCACAACTCTCATCAGCTCCAGCCAGCACTCGCTGAGGACGATGGGAGTTGTAGCCCGAAACACCTGGAGAGAGCCAGGTTGTGGAGTAGGGCTGCTCTAAAGTACTAGCTGCAGATATTAAGTAGTGTTCTTGCACATGTGGTGAATGCACAGAATTCGCTTTGCTGAGGATCTCAGAATGTCTTTTTCTTTAAGAACCCCAAATCTTAATTTTAAAATTGCTGCGATTGTTTCATTTTGGGCAGTTGAAAGTTAGTTAAAGATGAACAGCACATACTTCGGAAATATATTTTGTTAAGTTTCTCACATTGGGACCTGTCCCCCCACCCCTTTTCATTTACAAAACTCTGTACTCTGATAGTAGGCTTAAAAGCAGCCCCAGCCAGCACAGTGTTGGTGTTGTTGTTGAAATCATTTCTTACATTTATATCCAGGGCTTTTGTTCAGCCGGAACTCTCCGGAACTCAGTCACAGCACCTCTCAGGTGAGCACCATTATAAGAGAACAAGGGAGGCGTTCATGGTGTGTTCCCACACCTCTTTTTCTAGAAAAATATCACTGTTTATATCTCACTGTTTTCTCTGAAATGCTTGCGGAGAGGGAATGCTCATAATAGATTGTCATTGAATTGGCTACTCACTGTCTCGCACTGGAGCTACCTGCAAATCACAGCCTCTGGAAATCCTTATTTTTCTTTGCATTTATATGCCAGAGAGCAAAGTTTAACAGCTGGCCTCCCTTTCCTGCAGCCAGTGATCAGCACCTGTAAAAATCTCAAGTTCAGGAAATCTCAAGGTCAGATACCCTGAGGCATTTATGGTCCAGGAGCATGGTTACGACTTTCATGTGACTCTCTCTTACCCTTGATGACCGAAATAAAAGTATTGCAAACAAAGGGTGGTTGAGAAATTAACAGAATTTCCTAGTAAAAGATCGTTCTGAAACTGCATTCATTAATGGTAACCTCCTCCTCCTTCCTGCCCTCTCCAGTCTGCTTCTCACACCAAGGGAAAAGCATTATGGCAAGTGAGGGCTCCTTTGCGCATGTGCAGAGTGTCTTTCCTACAAGGAGCTGAATAGAGCACAACAGTCCTGCTCTGGGATACTGGGAATGTAAATCAACTGCTGCTTTGGCTTCGAAGCCCATATACTCCCAAACGTATTTTCATAGCCCATAAGCCATGAGGACTAGAAACTTGGAGACCTTGTACTGACTCATCATAATCCTGGATTTGCAGGGAATGAGGGAGAAGAAGGCAGGAGAGAAGGCAGAAGATAGAGTGACACAGAGGGAAACGGTGATTTTAAACAACAGTGGATATTTTAATAAAGCTGGGGTGGAAGGACACAGAGGAAAATGTTAGTTTTAAACAACAGCGGATCTCTGAGTAAAGCTGGGAAGGAAAGACACAGAAGTGGGGAGGAAACATCGACATGGAGGGTGAAAGCAGGAGTGCTGCAGACGAAAACAGAGAAGTAGAATCAGCAGTGGGGTTGGGACGGAAAAAAGCCAGCCTCGGAGTTGTATGGGGTGGGAAGGGGAAGCTTCAAGGGGGTTAATGCAGGGGTTGGCAAGGAGAATGGAGAGGGTCAGAGCCCCTAGGATGTGTGTGTGTGTGTGTGTGTGTGTGTGCCTGTGAGTGTACTAGATTATCAGGAAGCTGTTTTCTATGCCCAACACCATAATATTCTTGCTCTCTTGCAGAATCACATCCTATAGTTCAGGAAAAGCCTTATAACTCAGCTGAGAATAGACCACAGGTCCAGCTTCCAGGTGAACTCAGTGGGGCCCCCTCTTTTTTTAAGAGCTTACCTGGTGATTTCATAGGTAAAGGTAAAGGGACCCCTGACCGTTAGGTCCAGTCGTGACCGACTCTGGGGTTGCGGCGCTCATCTCGCTTTATTGGCCGAGGAAGCCGGCATACAGCTTCCGGGTCATGTGGCCAGCATGACTAAGCCGCTTCTGGCGAACCAGAGCAATGCACGGAAATGCTGTTTACCTTCCTGCCGGAGCGGTACCTATTTATCTACTTGCACTTTGACGTGCTTTTGAACTGATAGGTTGGCAGGAGCTGGGACTGAGCAACGGGAGCTCACCCCGTCGTGGGGATTCAAACCGCCGACCTTCTGATCGGCAAGTCCTAGGCTCTGTGGTTTAACCCACAGCGCCACCCGCGTCCCTTGGTGATTTCATGCCTCCCTCCCAAAAAAGGTTCACGAGGCAATCCAGGAGGAGTATGTTGGTTCTCCCCTCCCCAGCCAGACTCAGAGTGGATATTTTTGAAGCTTGATCACTCAGCACACAGAAGCCTCTCACAATCCAGTGGCGGCTGTTTACACATACCAGCTGTCTGGGAGGGGGGATTTTAATTTATACACAGGCATGGATATGTATCCAGATATCTTTCCTGGAAGTTGTTTACCACCCTGGAGGCATCAGGGAGATCTGGAGAGGACATGAACCCACTGCCCTACAAGGAGATGGAGTTGAGAGCTCCCTGCCTAACTGGGGACTGAAAGCAAGGAAGAAATAGCCGTGGTAGTGAAGGGGCTTGGCAAGATCCTGGCTTGTTGCTGTAGCAATGGAAGGGCAGCGAAGGGCTTGGCTTGACTTTGGGCTTGTCAAGGCAGATCCCACCTCAGCAGTCATAGCAAAGAGTATGTATCCGAGCCCAAAGAAGGCAAAACTAAGAGTGGAGAGTGTAAAATTAGTATTTATTATGGAAATTTTATGTATACAATTATTTGCTTATTATTTGCTTTTTGCATTTATATATCTCCATTTTGTCTCATTATATCTCATTTAATCCCCACAACGCCCCTGTGATGCAGGTTAGGCTGAGAGGCAGTGACTGGCCTCCGAAGTCACCCAGTGAATTTCATGGCTGAGTGGGGATTTGAACCCTGGTCTCTGAGGTCTTGGTATGACACTCCAACCATGATACCACACTGACTCTCCAGATGAAGTTTTGGAGAAGTCATGGTTGGTCCTAATCAAGATTTTGCTCAATTAGGACCTGAAGTCCCCCACCCCCTCACCACCACCTTGTAGACCAACATTTTCTTATATAAGCTTATGAAAAACAACCAAGAGTTTTGCAGCACGCTGAAGATAGACAGAATTACTGCAACGAAAGTTTGCTCAGGATAGAAGCTTACCTCATCAGGTGAACTCTAGTCCAAAAAGTTTATGCTATAACAAATCTGTTTGTCTTCAAAACGCCACAAAACACTTGTGTTGTGTACACACAGAGACATTTTATTTTAGAATACGGTAAATGGAGACTGAACACTTGTTTTCTTCTATAGAGTCTGCACACAATGTAATAAATATAATAATAATAAATTTTTATTTATACCCTGCCC